TTTATAAATTAATTATTTTTTATCTAATATAAAAATATATAAATTAAAGTTTAAATAACCTTATTGACTTTTAAAAAAATAAATTTTTTAATAAAACTTATAAAAAAAATATTTAACATAAAAAGTTCTTCAAATTGCAGGTTATAATATTTAAAAGAATGATATTTTAATATTACATCATTTTTAGTTATTAATTCAAAATATTAAAATATTAGGCTAATATTATAGACCATATTAGATAATTCAAAAATTAATATAATGTAACAAAAATAATAATTTCTGAATATTTTTCTTTGTAATATTAGTTATGACTGTTAAATCAAAAATACTATGAAAATATGTGTTTATAAATAAATAATATAAAAAAAAAATCAGCTCTTTGAAATATTCTTATTCAAAAAAAATATCATTCAAATAAGAATGTATTGAATTAACATAATTAAAGAAATAACATATTGTTTAATTGCTTAAAATAATTATAATATACCAGAAAAATATTTATGTTATTTATTATTTTAATTTTTAAAATTAAAAGTTTTTTATATAATATTTATATAAATAATATTAATATATAAATAAATAATTCTAAAAGAAACCATTTAAGCATTGAATTTCAAGACTGAGCATATTTAATTATAAATTCAAAAGTCTGAATTTTAGCTTTTCTTTAATAGTAATTAAATACAAATAAATAGTTATCATTTTGTTTATTACTTTGTATATTTTTCATGTGAGTCACACACAAATTATATTCATCAAATATTTTAATTTTAATTTTCTTTTAATAGTATTTGAATGCTATTGCTTTGTTTATATATTTTTTATATAAGTCACATTAGAGACTTGCACAGATCAGGCTAAAATTTTAAAATTTTAAAAACTTCTCAAAATTACAAACCTGATAAGTATTAGAGGATTTGACTTCAATGAATTTTGAGGTTTTGCCTTTTGACATGGGTTTCACCAGTTTCGTTAGGTTTTGCTAGTTTCACCAGAAAGTTTCGTCTTTCATCTTTCGCCAGGTTAGATTTCATCTTTCACCATTTGCCCAAAATGGTTTCGTCTAACAACACTAGTTGGAACTCTTCTTTAACGTTGACGGCTTTCTTGGTCAAATGTCTTATGGCGAGCGATCAACTGGCAAGTTCAGTGGTTTATGGACGAACGATAGGGATAACAATGGGATTAACGATAGTTACTAGTTGGTTATAGAACTTGTACTTCATTATGGGTCGGGTATTTATTGTTATTAGGGAATTTGTTGTTAGGGATTCCGTGATTCTTTACTCCCAAGGCAAAAATGCCCTTTATTTATAATAAACGTTTTATTTACATTTGTAAGTAATTTCTTTCATAAATGCAATATATTCCTTATGCTCTATATCTTAACTAAATCTAATAAAAGGCCGATATTTCATTTAACGAATATGTGGCATAAGTAGCAGAAGTAACATAAGTGACATAAGTAACATAAGTAACGGAAGTAAGAGAAGTAAGAGAAGTAACAGAAGTAACGTTTCTGTTACTTCTCATGTGACCTTGGATCGGGTAAGGAGCATCGGTTTGATTCGGTCACCCGTGACCCCAAAAATCGGGCTCACAATCTTTACTTAATGAACTTTATAGTCCTATAGTTATTAGATATTGTATATACTCTTAAAAATAAAATTGACTAAGAATTATTTTATCATAAATAACTAAAGTGATAAAAAAGTCGTTCTTATCATGTCGACGGATTTAGTTAATTGGGCCTTTTTACTTGTCATTAAAAATTATGAATGACAGTTAAATGATAGTAAATATAATTTGTTTTTAAATACACTTATAGACTGACTAAATCAGCACGAATAAAATAGACTGGTCATCATGTACTAATTAATCCTTAATTGCCAATCTTAAACATATACGTACGTAGATTGCTAAGTCTTATACTTGCAAACTGTAAACGATAATGTGAAATAATTTCTAATTTTAAGTTTGAAAGATTTGTGAAATTGCAGAATATCAAACAAATAACTCATTCAATTGTTAATGTTTTCTGATTTCTTAAAATTACTCTAATGTGCCTAGCAATCGAGTGACTTATTTCATTAATATTAACGGTCATCTCACCAATTAGTTATTTAACCGACATCACATAGAGTGCCAATTTAGTATCTTGTTAGTTTAATGTATATTAATTGCAAATTGTCACGTTATATGATGTCGGTTTTGATGATTTACGGTGACCCGGATGAACCCTGACCGTTTGGGGACCATATCCCAATTAGGAAAAAAATCGATCACATCTGTCGCATCCGTCGCATCCGTCGCATCCGTCGCATGCGACCGATAAGTCGCATCAGTCGCATTGGTCGCATATGACAGATCTGACGGATAGCAGCGATCGGTCAGAAGGGTCCTTTAGGTAATATCAGTCGTATGCATCGCGAAATGTAAATAGAAGTAGACAATTATAAATAAAGGCCTTCGGGAATGAAAAAAAACTTCCCTTTGGCGAACAATACTTAATACATACATTGCCTAAACACTCATAGTAAATTGCTTGTAAACCGAGTATCTATTAAACAGTAATTGCCATTGCTATAACGAAATCTGTCCCTAACTCGTAAATTACATTAAGTACATCTAATTGATAACCAACCCGAAACCCCTTTAAGACAGTAGAACCCGACTAGTACCCAGTAAACCACTCGCCAAACCTAACATGCCTTTTTCGACCGGAATTAACCCTCCCAAGCGGTTACACGAGGAATCCGACCGATTAGCGACTGACTCGCCGTTTTACGATTACAACAGGCAATACAGTTGTCGATCAAATAAACAGACCCCTAAATGCATCAATACTTTTGAATGAGGGACTGCAGAGAACAATGGCTTGCATCAAAGTGAACTTCCTATTTATAATACCATAGATAGAATGAGTTGATGTATTAAACGGGAATATTAACGGTAAATCATAATTTCAATTAAAGCTAAATATGATTGTTAATTCAAATTAATCAGCTGCCAAAAGATCAGTACGTAGGGAGAGAAGGAAATCTATTTACATATATGGAATACATACCCCACATTGATCTAGAATGATAAATCGTATAATTGAAAATGGACAGATGGCGTATTTACAATCAAGCGGTCTAAATGCATAGGATCGGTAGACTAACTTATGTTTATTTGGACCGGATATTCTTTTCAATGAGTCATAATATTGAGTCATAATATTAATAGAATTTTCATAATCTAGAATTTTAATTGATTATGCAATTAAAATTTACTACTAAACAATTAATAAAACTTTATATATAATGTTATTTAGTAAAGGATTTTATTCAACTAACTTTAGTAATAAATTTAGCTTCAATATTTGTATTCATGATATTCACTTGGATATTTAATCATAAATAATGCCGAATTGTTAAAAGTGGGTGTATTAAGATATTCCGCATTAAGTAATAGCACCGGCCAACTCTTTCTACGTACGTATAACAAAATTATTTTACTTAATGAGTAAGCAACTTCATTAGTAAAATTTTGAATGAGTTCGGATAAATTCATTCCTGGGCCCATTCCAAAGGGTTACGACTCGAATTTTAATTATGCGACTAACTTATTCTAAAAAAAAAACAACGTATGCGATAATGCTAAATAGTAAATTATTTAGCATGAATATGCAGCATGAATATGGATATATATGCAGATGTTTTTGATTATATGTTCTAAAAATCTTAGAATCCAATAATTTTCCCATAGTTGGCGTAGAATTACTTTTCTCGTAGATTGAATAAAATTCTTTTTCTGATTAATGATCAGTTTTTTTAAAAAATTAATAATCAGTTTTTTTATATATTAATAATCAGTTTTTTTTATATATTAATAATCAGCTTTTTTTATATATTAATAATCAGTTTTTTTTCGGATAATTATAAGTGATGCACTGCGCATCCAAGTGTTTTTGTATACAGGGTTGTATCACTAAATTACACATACGTACGAGACAAATTCGATATGCTAGAGATAATGAGATCATAGAAAAATTATAACAAACCTATACTATTCTCTACTTAGAAAGCATTAGCTCATAGAGTCTATTGTATATAACGTCAAAGTTATCTATCCGCTATGTAAAACTCAAATTGTATATACGTTCGTACGCGGTCGAAGTGTAGAATATATTATCCATCCGGAATGTAGTCATTGTACTAATACTGCGCACCTGCAAATATTATCGAATCACATAATATGCCATCATATGCCATCATTGCAGATTGAGTAAGTATAATTTTTTGAGTACGTACTATCTTTAAATTAATCTCTATACTAATTATGGTAAAAAAATTCACCTTGTATGGTTATAATTAAATAAAATTAGTAACTTATTTTTCATAATATCATTGTTAAATCTTGGCAATGTCTTTGTGAGAAAGCCTAAAACGCTAAATACTATAAACGTGACTCTTGGCAAAGTTTTTAATTAAAATTTATTATTAGGTTTAATTGAACTTTTAGGTTCTTCATATATTAGAGAAAAAGAGCATAATTTGATATTATTCGTGATATCTCGCCAATCTTAGCAACGTTTTTAGATGCGATTCTTGGCAAAATCTAAAATTAGTAATTTCATTTTGATCTTTAAAGTTCTTCATACATTAGAGAAAGAGAGAATAATTGATATTATTCGTAACATCATTGGTAAACGTAGCAATGTCTTTATGAAAAAGTCTAAAATGTCAAATATTATTGATGCGATTAATGTTATTATTAGGTTAAATGGATCTTTTTATGTTAAATTCTTCATAGAATAGAGAAAAAAGAGTATAATTTGATTTTGAATTTATATCTACCCTATTCTAGATTTTTTTTTATATAAGCATCCTTCTGGACCTCTTCAGCTCAACACGAATTGTTTCAGTTATCAATTAACTGTTTACCTGAGATCAATTTAAAAATTTATCGATTAATTCAAATTATCATTTTTAATCAAATCTAAATATTCGATCATCATGAAATTCAACTTCGCAGCCTTATACTTGATTCTTCTAGCTACCAGTATACTGGCAGTTCCAACACTAAAAGGTATTAATTTTTATAAACATATTTGATTATATCCATTATGTTCGTATAATATTTAATAACTCACTTGTCAATACTACTGAATTCTAGAAGATGCTAAAGACTTAGGTAATATATTTTATACATTTTTAATGATTCATATTTTATGCAAATTGATTTATTTTATTAATCTGCTATTTATTATTATTTATTCGATATATTCGGTACTTGAAAGATAAGCGTACTCCTGGACATGATCATTGGGAACATGAACACAAAGGACATGATCATTTGGAACATGGATACAAGGAACATAAAAGAGGAGAACATGAAAAAGGACATGGGGATCATGGACATGAGGATCATAGAGATTATGGATATGAACATGGTGGACATTGGGAACATAAGAAGGGACATGAAGGACATGGACATGGGGACCATGGACATGGGAACCATGGGCATGAGGATCATGGATATGACGGATACAGACATGGTGGACATTGGGAACATAAGAGAGGACACGGGGGACATGGCCATGGAGAACATGAACATTGGGAACATGAACATAAAGAACATGAATATTAGAGACATTGAAAGGGACTAAGGGACGTAAAAGAAAAGAATATAAAGCCCACAAAGAAAAAAAATTTACAAATAGTTGGCCAAAGCTCCTGTGGATCTTTTCATAATGAATGTTATAATTTGAAAGATCTTGATAAAGTCTTCATTATTAAATAACGATCTGATGCTGTATAAAAAGCTTTTGTTCTATATTGCTGTATTATCAATTATTATTGTAAAAATATATTTATGTAATAAAATTATTTATTTAATTTTCTATTTTAAAAAATGTATGGATGGTAAAGTCAATCTTGATCCTAAGATTTTTAAATCCTGTCGTATAAAAGTTCTATATGAAAAGTCTTAAAACTTAGATTGGACAAACCAAACTAATCTATTAATGCTAATATTAATATATTTTTTGAAATTTTTTCAGTTTTCAGAGATCATTATTATATTATCCAATCAATCATGCCATAGATAGGGCTTACCATTAGCCACTGCCTACCGTCATATTCACCATCAAAGGTACTGTGTGTGTGAACACTAGTGACTTGACTTATGTTAATTCGTGACTCGCAAATTAAATTCAGAAGAGTGCTCTAATCATTCAAATCGTATGATCAAGTATTTTTTCGAGTTTTGTTCGAATCAAGATGATTAATCATCGTATGTACTATAAGATATTCAAACTGCAAGTTACAATAAAAAGCCATTATTTTTGATTATAACGGTAAATATATGAGGACACAACATAAAAAGCAGGGGATGAGACTATATAATATATAGTCACATCCCCTGTTTTTGCTGTTGGCGTCCTCATGTAGCTATTGCATGCAAAGTATGCAATGACTACCGCATTTTATAGGTGATGTGGTATGGCTGTGTTACCAACCAATCATAAAATACAGATGCAATAAAAGTCTTATTTAAAGAGTTTCTATCTCAATTTAAATTTTTTATTTTATAGACTGACCACCGGCGACCATTTCACTGATAACTCACTTCCTTGACAACCCATTTCTTCGAAAGTTTATTTCCCCGACAACAATTTTCCGACAGTTTTACCGACAATTTTGGCCAGATTTAGGGTTAGGGTTGGCCACTTTATAGTTAGTGTTGGCTAGAGGTTGATCATGAAAAGAAATACCAGGAACGGAGTATGAAATACGGAGTGTATGGTTTTATGGCAAGTTAAGTGGAGTTCGCAATTCTAGGCATTTGATTGGATGCTTATACCTTGTGACTTTGTGTACATGCATTTGTGATGATGATCGTTACCTAAATTTACCATACTGTAATATCGATATTCTCATTATGTGTTATCGTTATATTATTCGATTTATTGTGTGGCTTTTATATATATTATATGTGCATCAGGTTTTAGTCGTGATTTTGTTGGAATTGTGTATTGTGCCTCATAGTATTTTTTTTCTATACCAGGAACGGAGTTTGTACAACGTACAACGTAGTGTATGGTTTATAGGCGATTCAGATGTGGATGTGCGAAATCATGAATCTGATTGAATGATCGATTCTTGTGACTTTGTTCTGAACAATTTAGGTCGATTCCTAGGTCATTCTGGAATTTTGAATGACCTAGGTCATTTCTCAATTGGTGAAATTTTTAAAAATTTAAAATTATATGCCCAGTGATAAATTATATAACCCAAGCAATAATATTAATTATATAATTAAAGTTCTTTTGCGTGAATAAAGCAAACTTTTACATAAAGATAATCAAAAACTTATTAAATAAAAGTAGAAAATGGTTTAATGCTTCTAGTAAAATAAAAAAATTCATATAAATAAAAAATGCGCAATGCAAATAAATAAAAAACAAAAACACAATAAAAAAAATACACATTACAGGACAAATTTGCGACCCCAGGTCGTTTAATTGTATAAAGTACTTCAGTTTAACAACGTAAATAATTTTAAAATTATATTACACAATATTTAAATTTTGTATTATATAAGTCATTACAGTTAAACATTGATTGTATTTATTTTGATATTAAATAGCAATTGTTTTTCCTTTGAAGAATAAAAGCTTTTAATATTCGATCAAAGGTTTTACATGTTAAAAGTCATAACTTTCTATTTTAAAAATTAATAGGAAAAAAAATTGTATTTATCAATAAAGTTAAACATTAAAAAGGTTTATTTATTTATTAATTTTGTTTTTTGCATTAATTAATTTGACTTACATAATAATTCTGGGTTCTAAATTTTTATTAAGTTTTGGGATCAAGTGATGACCTTTTCCTGAGTACAAGGTGTGACAAATAAGCACTAACTAATTTATTTATACAAATAAATTAGTTGGTACTTATTTGTCAACAGATAATTGGTCACATCTTAATCTTTTAAATTTTGTAGTGTTTCATTAAAAATTGATCTGGGTTATTTCTAAATCAGTGAAAATTTAAAAATGACTTATGTTAAATCAAAATTGACCTAAATTGTAAAATAACTTAGAACAGTAACACATTATTATATAATGATAATGATAATCAAATACTTTTTCAGTTGTACATATACATATATATGATTTTTTAACAAAAATATTGCTTTTATTAATATTAAGTTCTGGATTTTCCAATATAGTTTCTATTATATCAATATTATTGGTAATATACCAATACATATTATACTTTTTTGACAAAAATATTACTTCTATTCATATTAAGTTCTGAATTTTCTAATATGGTTTCTATTATATATACTAATATTATTGGTAGTATACTGATACATACTACACTTTTATTACAATATCTGAATCCATTACCAGGTCTAATATAGGATGGGTCTGGTCAGTCATAGTCAGTTATCAGTCAGTCATTGACTTATAACCAACTGACTGCAGTTAGGTCATATAACTGGTTAAATAATCAGTCTAATAACTGTTCAGTTATTAGTTAGGTTTGTAAAAAACTTTTCTATCCATCCAAGTTGTAATCAGATCCATATGCATATTTACAGCTGTTCTTATAAATTCTGAAACAACTAATAAAATTTTGATCTACTAAATTCAATAAGTTTTTAAATTCAGTATTATTGAATTATTGTAATGCTAAAAATCTAATTCTAATAATACCAAATTCAAAAACTTATTGAATTCAGCAGGTTAAAATTTTATTAGTTGTTCCAGAATTTATAAAAACAGCTGTAATCAGGATTAGTATTAGTATACCAAGAATGGTGTATGAAATATATAGGGTATAGTTTAATTAAGAATGAAATGATATGTGTGATTCTTAGCATATGATTAGATTATCCTTCATTATGACCTTGTGTAGTATCTCAAACTAGTGTTTAATATCTAATGTTTTTAATGTTCTTAAGAATCTTTAAAAAAATTTAAGAACATTGTATCTAAAAATTATGTTCTCTTTTAAGAATGATCTGAGAACATAAAATTTTTAATTTATGTTCTCATAATATATATATTAAAATATTATAATTACTATTTTTTTTTAATAAGAACATTAAAAAGTTTTGAGAACATAAAATTATCAGTTAATGTTCTCAAAATATAAAAAAAAATTTTCAGATTTTTTTTACTGTCCTAAATAATACTTTAAAAAGTAGGTATCAGAAATAAATGTCTTTATATACAAAGTGTTGAAATTAATTGGTCTATGTAACTTATTCATATTTTAGTAAAAAGAAAAACCAATAAAAAAGTATATACATCTGTAAAATCAAAGATGCAATAACAAACAATAGTAAAAATAATTTTTTTAATAAAAAATTAGTAATCTGATGTAAATTTAAAGTTTTTAATATTAAATATCTTGTAAAAAAAATAATTACTGATTGTTAAAGACTTAATTAAAAGAATTTGTTAATCATTTCTAAATACATAGATATGTTTTATAGATTTGCAGAACTTCAGAATTTTTATTGAAACTAGTAATATATTATTTATATAATATCCAGATTTTTTTTAGTATACATTATTGTTATAAGTAAATCTGATCATAGGACCATGAAGAAGTATTGCATAATAAGCCACAATTTGCACTTAAAAAACTGTCATATTACAATGCCTATAACTTAAAACAAATCAAGCTCTTTATTAAGTAATAATACTGATTCATTAAAAAAACACCACCTGCCTGATTTGAAATACATCTGTCAAGATAATATTATCTTAACAGATAAAGTTTGTAGCTATATAAATATGTTATTATATGTTGGGTTATATGTCATTGTAAGATGAAAGAAAAAAAATTCTAAAGTAATGATGGATGAATTGTAAAAAAAAAGAAAAAGTGTTAGTGAATAAGAAAAAAACGATTTTTGACAATAAGAAAAAGAATATCAAAATCATGTTCAAAGTTCACTCTTTTTTCTTAAAAATATTCTACAAAAATGATTTGAATTTGCTCTCTTATAAATAATAGAATATCATCCTACTCTCTTGTAATCAATAACCATCCTGTAAATAAAAACTAAATTATCTTTAAAATTGTAACTTATCTTATAAATAAAAGTCATAATTGATAAAGTTCTAATTTTAATAAACTAATAATTAATAAACTTATGTTTCTTTAAACTATTACTAGTAATATTCTCAAGGTCACCTTTGACTAGTGCCAAATTGAATCTGCCTTATCTGCTTTGAGTAATGTTACATAATGTCAACAAATTTGAAGGACAATTTATCACATTTCTTCTTGTCTTTTTAGTATTATTTCTGATTATATACTCTATATTACTATATACAGTACATATAGTATATATAGTGCATATAGTATGTATAGTATATGTAATATGTATAGTATACATATAATATATAAACTATCTATATGCAAAATTTTGCCAAAAATAATTTTATTTAAAATACAAAAGGTAGTTTTATAAGGAAACCTTTGAGATATAAATGGTTTTATAATTTGTTCTATAATATTTAAAAAAAAATATTTTATATAAAGAACCAAGTTAATGATGGCCAGACTTAACATACAGAGCAGGCTATGGCACTCTTTGCAGCTTTGAGAACTGAGCATATGGTG